AAATTCTTGAAAAATCATATAAAAGCTCAATAATATTCACAATTTAATTCTTCATCATCATAAATCGATTTATTTTCGATTTTCTCCACATATTCATATATTTAAAATTTTTTAGGGTATTACACCATGCTTTGCTTCATCACTCCATTTTACCGCTCATGCTTTGCATCATCACTTCACTTTCACCTTTGAATCATTTCAGCACCACTTCATGCACTCATTGCTGCACACCACTCCATTTTCCCTCCAAATGCCGTGCATTACCTCTATAAAAGGAGTGTGTGTGTGCAGCCATGGGAGTTCAGATTTTGTGAGAGCATTCACCACCATTTCAACACAACCTTCATCCAAACACATCCATTCATCTTCATATCCATTCCCCCATACAAACAAACCTTCAAACACTCACCAACACCTTGTGCCGTAGCAAAGGAAGGGAAGGAAAGTGCTTGGACGTGCTTGCTGTTCATCTTGGATCGTTGGAGCATTTAGGTGTTTTTCTTTCTTTTGTTTCCAATGTTTAAATCCATTTTCTTTCGTTTTGTTATGAACATGAGTGGCTAAACCCCTCTTGGCTAGGGGTGATTTCAAAGCCATGATTATGTGTGCAATTTGAATTGATAAATTCCAGTTATGAACTCTTGAATCGTGAATGCAATTGGTTTAACTATTTGATTGATAACTTATTTGTATTTGTTGATTAAGGGTCAACACTTAATTGGCATGCATAAATCCGATGCTAGAATATAAGAAAGTTTCACATAATCGTTACAAACTTATATTCATAAGTAGTGGAGGTCGCTTATAAACGATCGCGTTAAGTTTAATTCTAGCATGAGTGACATGATGTCATAGTTGCTAATGCTTTGTCAATGCTTATGATTTTCATTAAACGTAATGATCTTTGATTGTATCTCTATTATGATGTCATGTAGGGAACTTTTGAAGAATGTTTTGGGTTGTCGAATGATGTCATCAAATCCAATAAAACAAGGAAAATCTGAGGGTTAACTAGTGATGTCACGGTTAATTTGGGGCATTGTCGTTCATAATTCAATGAAGTAGTAACTGGAAATCGAGTTGTTTGCATACATGTCATGTGTGGAGAAAAAGCCTCTAGCTAGCTTATCATCCATCTAATTCAACCAAATTCGTCCAAAATCTGTCTTAAGTTTTTAGTTACTTGTTTTTATTTTAAATTCGTCCAAAACTCAATCCCCCTTTACTTTAGTGTGTCTAATTATTTAGAATCTGTTTTAGTTTGTGTTTTTAAGTGTTTTAATTCAAGTAAAAGTCAATTTCGTCCAAAGTCATTCCTATTGTCTAGTTTAAGTTTATTTTGGTTGTTTTAAGCTGTTTTGAGTATTTTAAGTTTGTTTTAAGTCTTGAGAGTCTTGTTAAGTTTTTTAAGTTTAGTTTTATGTTTTTGAGTCAGTTTAGAAGGTTATTAGCAAGCCATCCTAATCCCCGGTCCAGAACAATCCCTACTTATACATATACTACAATTGTCAAAAGAGGGTTTAATTTATGTGTTAAGTTAATTTTCGCATCACACCTGCACACTCCTTTGTTTAGGCACTTTTAGGTTTAAATTTATTCACATTATTTTTCCACTACACTACACTTTATGACTTTATCACCGTCCAGGTGTCGGCCAGCATAACTCGATTCGGAGACCAAGTGAGACTTTCCAGGTCGGGTGTGTTAGTTTGGTATCAACAGATAATTTCTGACACGAACAAGACTGGGTGTAATCAATACGCTATAATACTACGATCATGTGAATGCTGGTGCAGAAGCACGTCACATACAAGTCAGATTGCCTAATGCAATATGCCCGACAGGACTAGCACCTAACTTGGATCCAAGACGAGCGAACAGTGCGATGTGATGGCCCTGGCCCTGGGGCGAGTACTAACACCAGTGCAGCAAGATAAGCATGTACAAATATATATATATATATATATATATGAATATCATGACAGTAATATCACAACCATATAACAGCATTTATCACAATTTAATATCACAATAACGAATACTTGGCAATATAAGCGTAAAAGTGAAGTAACTACGCATTTAGGGAAACTATCAATATGTATAGGTATAAAATAAACTACCCACTTCCAGATATGCAGTCGAAACGAAGCCTCCTAGCCTTGCTTGACCTCGTATGTCCTCGAGATACGTTTCCCCTATATGTGAAATTACTTATTAACTTAGTTTAATAACACATACACGGAAACTTAAATAAAACCTCCGTAGATTGCTCAAACATAGGGTTTGAATAACATGAAATCGATCTACTCGATTCACAGACCTACACAAATTGACAGAAGGTCAATCGGAGGCTAGACGCACCGCCACAAGTGGCTGCATAGGCAACCATGCATTGCACGTGCTGAGGACACAATAGAGGACCACGCGCGCCCACGCACCTGCGAGTACATACGTATTCACATTTTTCTCGCGAGTTCTTAAAATTTTTGCAAGGTATTGCAAAAACTATGATATCTTGATCTTGTCAATTTATCAACAAATTGCTGGCGATCTTTTTGGCTACAGTGTCTCTCCTCACTTACGACTGAGGAAAGTTAATTTAGGTTAGGTTATTGCAAATGATTAAAGTTTCTTACAACTTAAGTGTTGTCTCATCTTACCCTTATGGTTACGTCACCTCACGGTGATGGCCAGCATGCTTCGACCTTCCCAGGTTGGGGTGTGTCAATAAATTAATCATAAAAAAATGAAAAAACGTAATACTACTTCCCTGGTTGAAGATCAAAACTCTCTTTAGCACAGCGTCAAGAGCGTGCTAATAACATGTTATAGGCCTAATTTACTGAGGTATAATAAGGACAGAGAGATAGATGTGCGGCAACAGTAGAGAGAAAAAGAGATGTGTAATTATGAGGTGTGTATTATCTCACCCCATAATGCCTTTATTTATAGTAATAGGGAAGGTAAATTTCTTACTTTAATAGGATTACAACTCTAATAGGATAATATCTAGTTTAAGAGATATGGTAGAATCCCATAAGGATATCCATATATGATCAGATTTACACAATTACATTCCTAATCTAATAGGACTGCAACAATTTTTTTTCTTTTCTAACATTTTTCTTTCAGTTAAGTATAAAAGAATATAGTCACTCAGTACTGCATTCTAATAATATTCCTCTTCGCTTAGAAGTAAGAGGTCTTAGGTTCAAATCTCATGGATGGCGAATTCGATACCAAAATTAGGTTGTTCATATGTGTGGCTTAATGAACTGTCCATCTTCCTAGTGTACAAATGTCGATGTACTTAAAAAAAAAAAAAGTAGAAAAGAGTATATATGTTAAAAAAAAGGTATAATAATAATTTCATTATTTTTTTTATATCGTATTTAATTAGATACAACGCTAATTAATTAAAAAATAACACGTTTATCAGATATCCTGAAAAAAAAAACCCAAAGAAGCCAACAATGAGTGTCTTCCCATTTTCGAACCACTTCAAAACATTCGAATTTTTTCCGACACCCCGCACCGGGAACCGCTCATCCCTGAATCGGACCTACAAAATAAATGGTTCAGATCGTTGAAGTGTAGAGTGAGCCTCACACCTAATCCCCATTTAAAAAAAAAATGGGAATCGGTTTACATAAGGGGCCTGCACACAGACATGTATATATAAAATAAGCATATGAACAGACATAAACCAATCGACCATGGCAGCTCCAAGTGACTCGCACTATTGACCAAAACCCTAACTAATTATAATATTGTAGGCAAAAGTTAAATATTAAATCATAGCCAGAGAGGTATGCAAATTCAAATGAAAAACCACAGAGCTATGCAAATTTAAATGAAAAGTTTGATAGCGATAAATTCAATTATACGGTTGTGACAAATTCAAATGATTAACACATAAAATTAATCTTCTACCTCTTCAGATTCTACTTCTTCCATAAAACATCACCTTCTACATCTTCAATAAAAACGTTATCATCTAAGTTCATTCTTTTTGCTTTCTACAAATGAAAAGAGATGGGAAGATGAGTTAGGGTTTAAGGTAGACAAATCGTCAAAACAGAGTGCGAGAGTTATCACGCCCAAACTTTTCTTTAAAAAAAATAACACAAAAGAGGGTAAGTAGTCATTTTACAAATGGATAAATATGTAATCAAAAAATTCATTCAAAGATGGGTGGGAAGATAAGACATTAGGGTGGGATATATAGATATTATATTAGCTAATATGACCAATATTATGTCAACTAATTAAGGAATTATAACTCTATCCCACACTCATGACAGTCCTAATGTGTGAGCTAAATGCCTTAGCATTGAAGACATAACTCTAAAGTTTTTGTTAATACCATAACTCTAACGTTAACACACCTTCAAAGTGGGAAACGTGTCTATTGAACTTAGAAAAACTTAAGGGCCTTGTTTGGTATAGATGATTGTATTGGAATTGATAAGTCAATAGTTTTAATGTAAAACTTAGAAGGTCTTAATGAAAATTATGGCCAACTTGGAGGTAGGAGAGGAATTTTTTATTTATTTTAATTAAAAAACAATATTATTTACATTAAGGGGTAGGAGAATGTGCTAAGTCTCACAATGGGCTAGCAATAATGTGGTTCAAATTCACCTTTGGCGAAAATCAAACCTAAGACCTCTCATTTACAAGTAAAGAGAAATACCACTAGACTGTAGTACTAAGTGACGATCGGAGAGGAATTATTCAAGAAGAATACTCATTCATTCCAATCATTTATAAAATTGAGAAGTATCCTCCGTGTCTAATTACCTCAGTATAAAGTTTGCTCGACAAACATGTCGTCGGGCATATGTTTAAAACCAAAATAAAAAATATATAAAGTTTGCTCAATGAAATTATTCGCCGGGCTAATTTTTTTCATTTGTTTTAAAAAATCATTTTCGAAACAATATTAATAGTAAATAACTATTTAGTTCTAATTATAGTACTTTAAAAAGCTAAAATCAATGACAATTTTTAAATTTATTTAATTACATTCAAAATAAAATTCTTCGTACAATTATGTTACAAAAACTAAAATAATAAACCTAAGCAACGTGGGTACGTGGGTGCTGAGGTGGCTAGGGGAATGGCGCCTAAAGGTCGCTCGGGGATTCAAGAATGCAAATGCTAGAAGCAGACAAGGATTAGGCTATCCCAGCAATGTAAAGGCTCACTGATTCTCAGTCACGCGTAGCAGTTTCTTGCTCACGAGCAGCTTTTTCTCCCAATCGCGCCCCGCTTCTTCTCTTTGTCGTGCTACCTGCATCTTATTCTCTTTAGCGTGCTAGTTCCACCTCCACCTGCTACAGTCTAGAAGATGATTCGATCGAAGGATGAGAGCTTGCTGAACAAAAAAACCCACTGATGTCCTGAACCTGACCCCCTCCTAGGCAGCTGAGTTTCTTGCCTTTCCATCGCCCAAACTCGTCCATCAACAACTGTAGATACACCTTGATCAGGTGTCAGCTCCTCCATAGGCATGTATGTTGCTGCTAGTAAGGGTGTGTCCAAAAAATTGAAAACCGAAAAAAATCAGACCAAACACTGAACCAAAACTAAAAAACTGAAGAAAAAAAATGGAAAAAAAAGAAAACCGAATTGAACCGAACTTTATTGGTTCGGTTTCAGTTTTGGAGGTTCGAAAACCAAACCGAACCAAATCTTTTTACACTTAAGGAATCCCTTTAGAGTAGGAAGAAGATGATGGGAGGATAGACCAAGCATGTCATATGTGGTTTTGTTTTTGTGATTTCTCATTTTCTTATTATTAGTGTGCCAATGCAAGCCTCTTTTCCAATTCCATATTAAAAAAAAAAATCAGGTTTTATAAAATAAAAAAAGAAAACTGAATCGAAACAAAACCAAACAAAATCTAACTAAAAAAAACAACCGAACAAAAAAAAAAAGGAACCGAATCGAATTGAACCAAACTTTCGATTCGGTTCGGTTTTGGCAAAAAACCGAACCCCCTAGCTACTAGGAGAGGTTGACGAGGTACTCGTCCTTTTTCTATGTCATAGAAGTCTACAACAAAAAAGAGAGAAACCAATTAAGATTATTGATCATAATTTCAACCATTTTTATTATAATAAAATTTAAACTTAAAACGTAAAACGAAATACTTACAAAAATGTCGTCTGCAACCTGGTTACCAAAATTGGAAGGCGTCTCCCCCAAACCTCCACTTCCAGGAAATGCAAACCACTCATCCGCTATTCCTCATCGCGGTAAGATAAGAGTCGAGAACTAAAATAATGAAGGTATGACTTCTTTTCCCAATTGCCTTTATTTGTCGCTGATTTTTTCTATAAATTAAAAAAAAATTAAACTTAACTAAAAGAATTGAAAAACTAAACTAAAATTAAAATATAAATAAAACTTACCTTAAATTTTTCACTTGAAACTGAGTGCACATCCATTGCCACTCACGTATCCTCTCCCGAAATTCTACAAGTGGATCAGTAAAAGCTACATTAGGAGATGCACAATTCTTGTAGTAGCAGTGCAGCTCATACTTCAACCCCTTATACCGCTCCCTCCACACCCACCCTAGGCAGTCAGTATTCCATTGTCCTGCATGTTGATGTCGAAGTTGGCTTGAAATGCCAAAAAAAAAAAAAAAAAAAAAAAAAAAAAAACCAAAACATCAATTAAAACCACATTAAATAACTAAAGTTAAAGATATTAATAAATTAAAAAAGTTGTACACTTGCCAAAATCTATCTCAGCATCTCGGCACTAACCTGTTGACTTTATTACTCGTTCATTGATGATTCGGGATCGAAAGGTAATCGAATAGGATCCAAGCCTATGATACTTGGGTGATTTGGTTGCTTGCTAACCCTTTACAGATCCTGTGGACTCTTCGGACTGGTGGAGAGCTCTTTGGGCATGGGCTAAGGCTTCCACAGGCTCATGCTTGTGGTTGTGAGGCTGACTAGCAGATCAGAATACCAACTCGGTTTGCACAAAACTGTCAAGGCTGGCTATTGACTTAATAATGAGAGCCTGGGTGACATTGTTGTCAGGTCAAGTTGACTAGCTTTGCCCAACCATCTGGATATTTCGTCGAGTCAAGTTGTTTTACTTAACCAAAATTTTGAATTTTTTGAAATATTTTCCGATTCACCTAATGAATGATTAGGGTAATGAACATGTGTCAAAATTTTAAAAGGTTTTACTCGACGAACCGTCTATTGGGTAAGGGTTTAAAATGTTATAAGCCCATGACCTTCTTCTTTCTTCTTCATTGCGCCATTCTCACTCTTGCTCTTTGTGCTCTCACTCTCGCTCTTAGTTCTCTCTCAATCTCTCTCAGTTCTCTTTCAATCTCTCGAGGTACTCTCTCAATCTCTCTCACTATTCTCTCCCTTAAACCTATATCCTCTTCATCTCACTCAGTGGTCTCAGCCGTCATGATGTTATCTCTTAAACTCAGAATCCCCGACGAACCTCTTTCTTAATCTCTGTCACTGTAAGTTTTAATTTCATTTTACATTTGTGAATTTTTTTTTGGATTTAAGAAATTGAGATGGATTTGTGGATTTGTATGAATTTGTGAATTTGAGATAAATATTTGGATTTATGATGTTCATGTATATTCCATATGTGAATTTATGAATTGGTTTGTGGAATCATGAATCATGGATGCGTTTATGGATTTGTGAATTTGTGAATCAAGGGTGCTACTTATGGATATAGGTTGGATTTGTTAATTTGTTTGTAAATCATGGGTTTGTGGATTTGTGGATTTGAAAATTTGATTAATGAATTTCTAACCCTAATAAATTGAAAGTGATGCATATAGGTTACTAGTTGAAAGTGATGCTTATAGGTTGAATGTGAATTGATAGTGAATAGAAAGTCATGCATATATGTTGAAAGTGAATTGATAGTGAATTGAGTGTGATGCATATAGGTTACAAGTTGCTCCTACAACTCAGCATTGATATGTGTGAGTTGTAGCTGCCACTTTCTTCCTTAAGGTTTATGTTTTCTATAAGAGCCTTGTTCCTTATTCCTTGTTGTCATGCTTTGTCCAGTGGCTTTCAGCCTTACTCGAGCTCTCTGTAAGAGCCTTCTTCTTGTAATTATTTGACATGGTTTTGAAATAGTTTTTTAATAGATGAATCCCTGATAGATCATGAGTGGTCACCGTTCTGCTTTCACTTTTGCTTAGAGTGAGTTGTCGGTCCCCAATGCCACTATGAGGGCTAATGGGACCTAGGCCGCAACTACCGAGTCAGCCACCGACATTAGTTTGTCAGTGTCATTGCCCTAGCTAGCCTGATCTGCCAAGCAACTCCACAATAGTCATTGTGACCAGCCACTCCCACCACTCATCTCGATCACATCTCAGCTTTCTAAGGGCAGCTTAGAAGCTAAATTGGCCTCCGTGAAGGTAGTGGAGTATGAGAGACACCTCCCTGCCATCCTTAAGAGTTAAAACATTTGGGGCATTGGTCAGGCTTAAAGATAAATTTGATTAGTCGAACCACTCAGCAAAGGATTCAGATTGTAGGTGTCACGCCCCGATCCTGACATATGTCCAAGATCGACACATGACATCACCAAATACTCGTATATCTCACATACCCTGCCTCCGGGATATGGCAAATCACAACTCGAGAATCAAATTTCAAAGTAATTTTTCGCTTACTTTATGGCTACATCTAACCTCCTTGTTAGACTGTCTGCGTACCCTCAATAGGGATCAAGCCATACGTAGTTCACTATTCGTCAAGCACTAAAACTTTTTGTAAAATACTTCTAACAGAACTCATAAAGTACCACATTATACATCAACATGCACACCGGTATGCCATTCTCACATAGATACTTTCCAATTTATCCATCATATAAATCACTTTGTTTCACATAATACTGAAATTCATAGTATGTAACATATCAAAGAACAACAAAGCACAATATTATTCTCAAGTCACTTACCCAACGTCATTCCGCGATCACGTCAATTAATCAATTCCATAAATTCAAGATGCACGATATTAATATCTAACTATATTAACCAAGCATGATCACTCCTAAGCATACATGGCCATAAGGATCGCCCAATGCGGATTAACCAAGCACGATCCATATATAATATCGCCCAACGCGGATTAACCAAGCACGGTCCATATATAGTACAGTCCCCTAATATGGATTAACCAAGCAAGACCACTAATGAAACCCAAGATGGATATGATTCTAGATCATTACTCAATAGAATCACAGAGTATGAGGGATTTCGGACCATCTCTCAACGCAATCCGAGTGGATACGATTCCGGCCAACCACTCAACGGAATCGCGAAAGGCCAACAACCATATATACAACGGCTTAAAGAAATGAGACAAGCACAAGTTACCTAATTTACAAAAGCTCAACCAAGGAAAATAAGACACAAATACTAAATTTAGAACGAATCAACGAAGCGGGAGATGAAATCATATCAAAGCAACAAATCCCCATCACCATAGGTTAATGGTCAACCACTAGTCCTCACATTTCATCACAACTTGCCAATCAAACCAATCAAACCATATTTTAATATATATACATGTCAAATCTCATTTCATAAACTTAAATCAATGGCTAAACATTAAAAATAACAATTCAATAGAAAACATATTTATAAAACCAAGTCATATCCACATAGGATAACAATTACGAAAACAGGGTAATCACCAATATCACATATATTAAGGTCACCTGAGGTCCACACTAACGCACTCTAGCATGGAATTCAAGGCATCAAGCTCTATCACCGCCAAAAACAAAGCACAACTCTACATTTAGATTTCTCTCGATAAATTCACATACCCAAAACTCTCATAAGTCTCCCACAATGACATTTAATGAGAATCAAACCGTTGATCAAAGGTATGGTCCATGATCTTACATCACTTGCTTTGTAAGATCCAACAACTAGATTTTCACTAGTAAGTTCCTAAGGTCCTTAAACAATATCTACAATAGCATACTAAAAATTTGGTGTCAATTCAATGGTAAGATCGTCAATTACTAGAATATTCAAGTAGTGGACCTTATCAAAACTATACTCAACCAACAACATTTCATAAATCAAATGTCACACATCGGAAAATTCAACTTTTTCCAAAAATGCTCAAATTATACAAGAATGAAGGCTCAACAAGTAGAGCAAACTTTATACCTATGGCCGAGTCCAATTTGGCCGGGAAGGCCCTCAAATTAGCTCGCACCCATCGAAAACCCTAAGGTGGGTGTTCTTCAATTCGGCTTCCTTGGTGTTCCAATGCCCCAACCACCAGTTGGGTCTTGTTCCTGGGTCCAAGGGAAGTTGATTAAGGGTAATGGTGAATGGTGATACTCGCCGGAACGACGAATCATCGTTAAGAACCCTCGGGTTCTCTTGTGGATTTCTACCAGAAATTGGCCTTAAAAACCCTTGATTTTGAGCAAATTTGGTAAATGAGAGGTTGTGTAACAAGTTGCAGGTGGTGGAAGGGTGAGAATGGCCTGAAATTTGGTGAAGATTGGCTGGAATTCGGCCAGGTTAGAGCCGGTTTTGTGAAAGAGCACATGTTGACCAAAATGGGGAAAAAGAAAATGCCCCTTTCCCTTATTGGTCCTTTCTCTCCCTTAAAAAAAAAAATCTGATTGGTCCCCTTTTTAAACTAACTTAACCTTTAACCCACATGTGGGAATTAAATAATTTCCACAATCTATAGTTCACAACTTCAAACGTCCGTAACTATACCGTTATAACTCGGACTCACAAACGGCTTTCGCCTATGTATTCGTGGGTTCAAGATTTATTTAAAAACACTATTTAAAACTTCGAAAAGTCAACGAAAAATAAAGATTGATTACGAAAATTCAAACCCGACAAATATTCGATTTAATTCCCAAAATTTACGGAATTAAAATTAAGTAATAAAAATGACGTAAACGTGAAATACGAACTTAAATTACGAGATACTTAATGAATAGTGAAATTCCGGAGACAGGATTTTACAGTAGGAGAGACACCTCCCCACCATCCTTAGGAGTTAAAACACTTGTTGACTCATGAGTGCGGTACCCTCATCTGCAACAAATGCCTTATAGACGCCGATTCCTGGATTATGCATAGAGCGTCGATTCGTGCCGAGATGAACCACCAGCTTTCGATAAATGTACAAATACTTGCTCAATTTAATAATATTTTTTAAAATTTATTTTTTGTCGTTTTAAACCAACTCTTTGATTTTTACTACGAGACTTGTCTGACGCCTGAGGCAGCACTTGTAGACCCTCCCCAAGAGTTATTGGAGAGGGTACGAGTGGGCGTGGCTTTATTTCATTTTAAGAGTGAAAATTATCAGGTAATGAAATTTAGTTTTTATTTTTTATAATTTTTTACTTAAGTTAAACAAATAGTTTAGTTTTTATTTTAATGTAATTTTTTTACTTAAGTTAAACAAATATTTTAGTTTTTATTTTAATGTAATTTTTTTACTCAAGTTAAACAAATATTTTGTAATGGACAGAAAAAATCAGCG